GACGTTGGTGATGGTGACGACAGTAATGATGATGACGGTGCTGCTGATTTCGATGATGATGGGGATGACGACGAGGATGTTGAGGATGATGACGGTGATGATGATGAAGCCGATTGTGATGACGATGATGATGACGAGGAGGCGGATGATGTTGATGGTGATGCTAAGGATGATGATGCTGATGGTGACGACGGTGACAGTGGTTATGATGATGATAATGTGGGGGCGGCGGAAGATCAGGACTAGGACTATGATGAAGACGATGACGATGATGCTACTGAGAATCACACAAATGACGGTCATGCCGATGATGATGACGATGCTGATACTGATGATGATGATGCTGATGGTCAGGACCAGGATGACTCCGATTCTAATAATGGTGATGATGGTGCGACTGGTGATGATGATGTTGATGTCACTGATGATGGTGACGGCGATGCTGATTGTGCCGGTGATGCTGACGGTGATGCTGATGATTATGATGCTGATGATGTTGATTATGATGACGACGGTCAATGATGATGTGCATTATGGTGCGAATTGTTTTGTTGATACTCATGGTAAGTCTTCTGCTGATGATGACGACGTCGACGACGATGATGACGATGTTGATGATAAGGATGGCGATGCTCCGGCCGATGCTGATGATGATGCTGATCAGGCTACTGAGAATGATGATGCGGATGCGGATGCGGATGCGGATCATGGTGATCTCTATGATTATGTTAGTCATGGTGGTGATGACGATGTCGATATTGAAGATGATGCTGATCATGATTCAGGCCATGATGGTGGTGATACTACTAATCGTAATGATGATGCTGATTATGGGGATGAGGATGATGATGCCGACGCTGATGATGATGGTGCCGATGATGATGATGATGCTGATGGCAACGATGATGCTGATAAGGATCTTGACGATGATGCTGATGATGAGGATGGTGATGATTATGCTGATGGGGATGCTGACTAGGGTGATGCTGCTGATGATGATTATGGTGGTGATAATCTTAATGATGATGATGCTGATGACGATGCTGCTGCTGATGCTCATGACGACGATGATGACGGCGATGCTGATGAGGATGAAGAGGATGATCGGTATGATGATCTTGATGCGGATGACGATGAAACATAGGACATTAATGGGGGTGGTGGTACTACCGATGATGATGTCGACGCCGATGACGATGATGATGCCGATTATGAGGATGATGTTGATGCTGATGATGCTGATGATGACGATGACGACTTCAACGATGATGCTGATGCTGATGCTGATGATGAAGATTGGGATCGTGATGATGGCGATGAGGATCATCAGGACCATGGTGAGGATGATGGTGCTGATGATGATGATGGAGTTTAGGATGATAGTTATGACGATGGTAATATTCATGATGATGCTGCTGTTTATGATGATGCTGATGCTGCTGATGATGACGACGACGACCCTGATGATGATTATGCGGATGGTTCTGGGGATTTTCATGATGAGAATACTGGGGATGCTGCGCATGAGGACGATGATTCGGATGATGCTGATAGTGCTGGTGCCCAGGTTGATGATGCTGAGAATGAAGATGAGGATGATGATTCGGATCAGGATGCTGGCGATGAGGATGATCATGACGACGTTGATGATGATGACGATGCTTAGAGGGATGAGGATGATGCTGATGGTGATGAGGACGCTGTTGATGATACAAAGGATGATGGGGATGCTGATGATGATGATGCTGCTGATTGTGCCGCTGATGATGGTGATGGTTCTGATTATGATGATGATGATGTTGATGATGACGATGATGCTGATAATGATGAGGATGGTGAGGATGAGAATGCGGTTTGTGATAAGGATGGTGGTGATGCTGGGGATGCTGATGGTGCTGATGATGATGGCACTGCTGATGCTCATGATGATGCTGACGACGATGATTATATTGAAGCTGGTGAGTGAGGATGATGATGATGATGATGCTGATGATGTTGATGATGATGATGATGAAATGACGGTAATAGCAATGCTGATGACGATGATGATTGCGACGGTGTTGATGAGGCTAATGATGATGATGATGATGATGATGATGGGTTGAATGATGATGTTTTTGATGATGCTGATGCTGATGATGATGGTGCTGAATGATGACGATGAGTATTCTGACGAAGGTGATAGTGATGATAATTGTTGATGGTGACGATAATGATGAGGATAACGATGAGGATGATGATGAGGTTGATGAAGATGAGCATGAGGATGAGGATGATGACGATGGTAATGATATCAATTCTGATGACGATGGTGATGGTGAAACTGATTATGATGACGATGGCGATGATGGATGGTGATGGTGATGCTGATTCGGATGATGATGATGATGATGATGATGATGATGATGATGATGATGATGATGATGATTATGAGCAGGAGGGGGATGATTGTGATGACAATCGTGATGATGGTGATAATGCTTTTGACGATGACGACGATGATAAGCGTGATGGCGATGCTTGTGATGAGGATGATGAGGATGATAGTGAGAATCATGATACATGTGACGATCACAATGAGGATGATGATGCTGGTGTTGATGATGATGGTGAGGATGGTACTGATTATCATGATGATGCTGATGGTGATGATGCTGTTTCTGATGATTACAATGCTTCTGTTGATGATGTTGATGATGGTGATGTTGATGCTGCTGATGATGCTGATTCTTGCTAGTATTATGATTATCATTGTGATCAAGTGTGTAGTATATTATTCGTATTATAAGTACCAAGGTGATGATAGAGAGTCTGATGCTGATGCTGATGCTGTTGCTGGTGATGATGCTGGTGCTGATGTTGCCGATGCTGATGAGTGTGATGATGATGATGATGATGATGACGCTGATGCTGGTGCTGATGATGATGCTGATACTGATGATAAAGATGATGGTGATGGTGATGATGTTGATGTTGATGCTGATGCTGATGATGATGATGATGACGATGACGATGTCGACGAGGAGAGATGAGGGGGAGGAGGAGGGAAGGAACGAGGGAGTAGGAGGAGGAGGAGGCGAAGGAGGAGGAGGGAAGGGAGGGAGGGGAGGGAGGGAGGGAGGGAGGGATGGATGGAGGAAGGGAGGGAGGGAGGGAGGAGGAGGAGGAGGAGGGAGAGAAGGAGGAGGAGGAGGAGGAGGAGGAGGAGGAGGGTGAGGATTTCAGCGTAGTGCTGATGTGCTTAAGGGTAGGCATAACCCTTTTGAGTCTAATGGGGCACTCGGGCTCTGCCACCCTTGAAATATGTGCCTGATGTTGTCACCTGGTAATGGTGGATGATATGCGTGTAGCGCATATCCTGTGGCAGCCACCTCTGCCTTGTAGCACCGTGACTAGGGGGGTCAACACATGTGGGTCAGGCGTCCCATCACGAGGGGACTACGAAAGATGGACCCAAGCATGATGTGCGACGGCAGTGTGTGTGTGTGTGTAAATGTGAGCTCCCCCATGTTGTGTCAACATTGATGCCGACAGAATGCACCAAACCGGATTCAAGCCCCAATGTGCGTTCCCAGGGGGGGCACGGTTTGTCCGCCCCACGGGGGGTGCAAACGTAGCTCGGTCTTCAAGTTACTGGAATACGTTTTCCGGGATGCCGACATGCGGAAAATGTCCGACGCACAGGTGGCTACTTCCCAAGGGTGACACCGGCGAGTCGGTGCTTAGGAGCCCCGTGGCAACCTAATCGGTCGCCTCCTGGGTCCCTGGATGGGGGCCTAGGATAGTGGACGCACCCAGCTAGGACCCCGTCCGAGTCCAGGGCAGCCCCACTCCCGAGGTCTAACGGCCATGCGGTTAAGAAGGTTCCGATGTTGGCACCTGGTGCTGGTGGGTGATATGCGTGTAGCACATATCCTGTGGCAGCCACCTCTGCCTCGTAGCCCCGTGACCGGGGGGAGGAGGAGGAGGAGGAGGAGGAGGAGGAGGAGGAGGAGGAGGAGGAGGAGGAGGAGGAGGAGGAGGAGGAAGAAGAGGATGAGACCTATCGTGGTCCTCTAAGGGCCTCGGCTTCCTGCGGGCCTCTAGGAGGCCTCATGCGAGCCTCTTAGGTTGCTTTTTGAGGTCTCTGTGAGGCCTCTTGGGTCGTCTTCGGGCTCTCTTGGTCGGTCGGTCGCCACTGGATGCTGGCTTGGTGGCCTCTTGAGTCGTTTCTGCCATCATGGGGCGCTTCTGGGTCGTCTCGAAGGTCTCTCGGGTTCCGTCTTGGGGGTCTGTCGGGTAGTCGCGGGGCTCTACGGGGGCTTCTTGGGGATGTCTCGGGCCTATCTTGGAGGCCCCTGGGGGCGTTTTTGGTTGTGGCAAGCACAAACACCAGAACGAGAACAGCATTGACACGCATACGGACCATCCATGATTTGGGCATCTTCGGGCCTTCCTAGCGGGCCTCTTGGATGCCCCTGGGGATAAAGGGCCTCTTGGGGCGACTCAAGGCCGCCTTCGGCTGTCTTGGAACTACTTTGGGCCGTCGTGGAGTCATTTTGGAGAATTTAGAGGCATCTTGGACTCTCTTTGGCCTTTCTGGAGGCCATCAGCTCGTGAAGGGACTGCTGGTGGCGCCAGGGCGCCAGACCTTAGAAGGCACTCAAGGCACCTCGGTCGGTCCTGTGAGCGCAGGATGGTCCAACTGCCCCCCGACCGAGCGGTGGAGAGTCCTACTACTCCTGCTCTCCCGCTCCATTCTCTTTCTCGTCCCCCGCACCGCCCCTCGTTGGGAGCCGCGACAAAGACGGGAGCTAGCTTGAGAGAGTGGAGTCGATCATGGGGAGGGAAGGTGACACTGCTACGCTCCATCTTTGCCGCCCAAGACCCCCTTGAACCCCGAAAACCCTTGAGAGTCCCCAAAAGCGCTGCTCCCTTTTCCTGCCTTCTTGGGGGTGGGATGGATGGGGGAGGAAAGCGAGGCAAAGGCGGGAGCAGGGCGCTCGCGGGGGGCTGCTTAGGTCTCGGAGCAGACGATCAAGAACACAGTGGCCGAGTTCCCCGCTCGCATCTTCGGCCGCGCTTGCTTCTTCTCATTATCAGAGTGAGGGGGCCGAACGGTTATTCACTGTCCCTGGGCGCGCGGCTGACATGAGGTTCTGCGGGGCGAATCCATGTTGGTGTTGTAGTTGTTGTTGTCGTCGTTGCTTTTGTTGTTGTTGTTGTTGTTGCTGTTGCTGTTGCTGTTGCTGTTGTTGTTGTTGTTGTTGTTGTTGTTGTTGTTGTTGTTGTTGTTGTTGTTGATGTTGTTGTTGTTGTTGTTGTTGTTGTTGTTGTTGTTGTCGTTGTTGTTGTTGTTGTTGTTGGTTTCGTTGTTGTCGCGGTTGTTGTTATTGTTGTCGTTGTCGCTTTTGTTGTCGTTGTCGTTGTCGAACTCTCATTTTTGAAGAAAATTATTGTTGATCCCCCTCCACCGGTGCAGACTGTTTTTTCTCAATCAAAGTGTGCCCCTCGACGCTCGCACCTTGTTTTTTGACAGGGAAAGTCTTGAGGCTCAAACTGGGCCCCTGGCCCCAAGTTACAACAACAACGGCTCCCGCCGGAGACTTCCTCACAATTTAGCCAGGACCTCCGCTCCCGCCCGAGACTTCCTCGCATTTTATTCAGGAATCGCGCTCTCGCTTGGGACTCCCTGTAAATCCATGAGGGATCGCTCTCCCGGCGCTCTGGAGTCGCGCTCTCGCTGGAGACTTGCTTGCAATTTACTGACGAACAGCGCCCCTGCCTTGGAATTTCTTGCAATTTACTCGAGCGCCGCGCTCCCGACACCCAGGCACCCAGGAGTCGCGCTCATGCTTAGGACTCCCTTACAGAGGATCAAGGAATCAGGATTTCGCTGCCCTCCGTGGCCCCGTTGCAGCCCTTCGTGGCCCCCTTCGCTTTGTTTCGTGGCCCCGTTGCAGCCCTTCGTGGCCCCCTTCGCTTTGTTTCGTGGCCCCGTTGCAGCCCCTCGTGGCCTCCTCACTGCCCTTTGTGGCCCCGTTGCAGCCCTTCGTTGCCCCCTCGCTTTGTTTCGTGGCCCCGTTGCAGCCCTTCGTGGCCCCTTCGCTGCACTTTCGTGGCCCCGTTGCATCCTTTCGTGGCCCCGTTGCAGCCCTTCGTGGCCCCGTCGCAGCCCTTCGTGGCTCCGTTGCAGCCCCTCGTGGCCCCCTCGCTGCCCTTCGTGGCCCCATATATGTATGCCCTTCGCGGCCCCCGCTCGTTCGCGCCCGCGGTGGCCCCATATGCATGCCCTTCGTGGCCCCGCTGTTGCCGTTCGTGGCCCTGTTGCAGCCCTTCGTAGCCCCGGTGCTGCCCTCAGTGGACCCGTCCTTGCCCTCCGCGGCCCAACATGCGTATGCCCTTCGTGGCCCCCGCTCGTTCGCGCCCGTTGTGGCCCCATGTGCATGCCCCTCGTGTCCCCGCTGTCGCCGTTTGTGGCCCCCTCACTGTTTTACGTGGCCCAGTTGCTACCCTCAGTGGTCCCATCGTTGCCTTCTGTGGCCCCGCATTATCTGCCCTTCCTGGCCCCTGCTCGTTCGCGCTCTTCGTGGCCCCATACGCAATCCCTTCGTGTCCCCGATGTCAACCGTCGTGGCCTACTTCGTGTCATTGTGGCCCTGCTGTCGTTCTCTCTCGCTCTCGCTTTCGCTCGTCGTCGTCGTCGCCGCCGTCGTCGTCGTCACCGTCGTCGTTGATGTCGTCGTCGTCGTCGTCGTCGTCGTCGTCGTCGTCGTCGTCGTCGTCGTCGTCGTCGTGGTCTGTCCCCTGTCCGTCCCTCTTTGGGTCGGGTCGACGGTCCGCAGCCGCCCCGCCGATCAGCGCTGCCGCTGGCCAGGCCGACGGTCCGCGGCCGCCCCGCCGCTTGCCGGGGCCCGGCCTGCAGGGAAGAAAGGCATACCCCCCAAAAGGGGTTGGATCGAAGACGAACAGGGCGGGTATCGAGGATTTGGGAAAGACGCGTTATTGGACACTCGAGCAGATAAAGGCGAACAGTCTTGAAATGATTATTGTTGAATTATCATTTCTGAAAGATAACTATTGTTGACCCCCACCACCGGTGCACACGGTTTTTCTCAATCAAAGTGTGCCCCTCGACGCTCGCACCCGTTTTTGTTTTTTGTTTGTTATATATATATATATATATATATATATATATATATATATATCCCAGGGGACGAGGTCCCCCGGCCGAGCCCAAGGACCTCGGGGGCGCATGGGGGTGCAGGGCCCCCGGGGCCGCTCGGAAGGGTTCCCGTTCGGCTCCAGAGACCGCCAGGGCGGGCTCCAGCCCAGCCAAGACAGCCCGCGAGCGCTCCAACACGCGCCAGCATGGCTTCCAGACGAGCCCAGCGGCCACCAACACGTCCCAAGCGGCCTCCAAGACGCCTCCCAAGAGAGCCCCAAGAGGCAAAACACGTTGTTTTTTTCATTGTTTTTTTCAATGTTTTTTGTTTTCTCGCTTTTCCTGCTTTCCGACGCTCCAAGACGGCCCAAGAGGCCCCCAAGAGAGCCCCAGGACGGCCCAAGAGGCCCCTAAGCCGGCCCCAAGACGGCCCAAGAAGCCCCCAAAGGCGTCCCGAGACGGCCCAAAAGGCCCCCAGGACGGCCCAGGAGCCGCCCAAGACAGCTCCAGGAGGGCCCCGCCATGGCCTGAAGACTGCCTAAGCGAGCCCAGCGGACCTCCAACACGCGCCAGCATGGCCTCCAAACGAGGCCAGAAGCCACCAACACGCCCCAAGCGGCCTCCAAGAGGCCTCCCAAGGAGCCCCAAGAGGCCACAAACGTTGATGTTTCATTGTTTTTTTCTATTTGTTTTGCCTTCTCGCTTTTTCTGTTTTCCGACGCTGCCAGACGGCCCAAGAGGCACCCAAGACAGCCCCAGGACGGCCCCAGAGGCCCCTGAGCCGGCCCCAAGACAGCCCAAGAGGCCCCCAAAAGCGTCCCAAGATGGCCCAAGTGAGCCCCAAGACAACCAAGGAGCCGCTCAAGACAGCCCCAGGAGGGCCCCGACATGGCCTGACGACTGCCTAAAAGGCCAGCGAGCCTCCAACACGCGCCAGCATGGCCTCCAGACGAGCCCACAGGCCACCAACACGCCCCAAGCGGCCTCCAAGAGGCCTCCCAAGAGAACCCCAAGAGGCCACAAACGCTGATTTGTGATTGGTTCTTTCGATGTTTTTCGCGTTCTTGCTTTTTTTGCTTTCCGACGTTCCAAGACGGCCCAAGAGACCCCCAAGAGAGCCCCAGGACGGCCCAAGAGACCCTTAAGCCAGGCCCAAGACGGCCCAAAACGCCCCCAAAGGCGTCCCAAGACGGTCCAAGAGCGCCCCAGGACGGCGCAGGAGTCGCCCAAGACGGCCCCAGGAGGGCCCCGACATGGCCTCAAGATTGCCTAAGCGAGCCCAGCGGACCCCAAGAGGGCCCCACGAGGCCGCAAGAAGCCCCCCGAGGCCACCCAAGCGCCCCCCAAAAGGCTCCCCGGAGGCTCCCAAGAGGCCCAACAACTCCTCCCAATACGCCCCAGAGACTTCCAGTATGCCTCCAAAAACTGACCCCGAGAGGGTCATGCGAGGCCCCAAGACAGCCCAATGATGGCCACGCGAGAGCCACACCATACATTATGATGATGAGGAGGCGTAAGTAATGGTGGCGAGGGATGCTGATGACAAGGATGGAAGGGGAGCGAAGGATGAGGAGGACTGGGGAGTGACTCGAGGTGAGGAAGGACGAGAACGAGGTGTAGGAAGAGAAGGAGCGGCAGATTGAAGAGAGCGGGGAGGACATGGAGGAGGCTGATGATGATGATGAGAGGAGGAGGAGGACGAGGAGGAGAGGAGGACGGGGTCTCGGGCAAGTTCCTTCAGCGCTCTTTCCGTTTCCGTGCACAACCATTGGCCCATCCATGGAGCCATGACGGGGCCCAGGTCAGCGCCGAGGCTGTTCCCGGAGCTTCCAACAAGGTCTCCGAGTTGCACTTCCGCGTCCTGCTCCACCGACCCCGTACCCCATATCGGCTGAAGACATGATGCTGCTGCCTCCGCAGTAGCAGTCAGTATTCTCCTGCTTGCTTCTACGGCATTGCAGGCTGCCATCCATATCGCGGGTCGAGCCGCCGCTCCCTGCACCTCCGCATTCGTGGTCATGGCTCCAGCTGTTACTGAGAGGCCGCGACACACGTGTCAGAAGTATCCAATTTGCAGTGGACTCCAAGCTCAGATCCCAGTCGAAGGCACCAACAAACGAGAACGTCAAAGATTTTGCAAGCGGTGCCTTTCGGTAGATGCACGGTGTGCCCGCCCCCAGTGCGAGGCCCCTGTAGCTCCACCCTTCCGACGGCCAAAAACACATGTCACGCCTACTTTCTGCACAACGCACTATTCCGACCCATGCCACAATACCACGCGTGAGTGGAACTTGTGTAGGAACGCCCGCGTCGGCTGCCGCCTTCTGGCAACCAACGAATCATCTGGCCCGCGCTTTCCGTGCTCTGAAGGCTCCCTGCCCTGTCGCTTCGCGGTGCTGGGGTGTCCTTCCCACGTTCGGCAAAAGGTCAACAAATGCATCAGGCCGGCTTCCGCAATGCGTTAACCATCACAACAACCATTCTTGCCCCTACAACCCTGGTCGGCAATTCGCCTGCGCATCGCCTGGTTGCCAGGAGGAACGGAGCGATGCAGCCCACAGTATTTGCGTTCCATGCCAAGCCGGACGTCGACCGTGCACAGTGTGCTTCTCGCGCCGAGGAGCGCCCGGAACTCCAGATCTGCGCGCCCACTGTGGCGGAGCCAGCCCAGCCGCCAGCCCTTCTCTAGCCGCTCCAGCGCAGTCTTCGACGGCGCTTGCATCTACGCCCTCGCGATGTAGCGCTCCGAAGTGCGGGGCGCCAGCGGTGCAAGAAAGCGCATCTCGAACGGGCGCGCAATGCCCCATGTGCATCTTCCGGCCGAGGACGCGCCCCAGAAGGCCCCAATACAGCCCCAGAGAGCTCCAGGACGGCCCACGAAGGGCCCAAGA